ACAAGCATGCTTTACTGCATATACAGGCTGATTTTACTGTTGTGGGTTTAGTAACACTTTAAGTAGCAAGCAAACATGTTGTCCCTGAAGTTGATGTGTTGAAAGCAGAAAAAATGGGCATCACAGTTTGTTGTGTATGGGGCTGTATTGCTGCAGAGCAGTCAGGGTGCCCATGTTGACCTGTGTCCAAAACCAAAAGCACCTACAATGTGAATGTGAGAATCAGAACTGGACCACAGAGCAATGGAAGAAGGTGGCCTGGTCTGATGAATCATGTTTTCTTTGACACCATGTGGATGGCCGGTGCGTGTGTGCGCTTACATGGGAAAGAGATGGCACCAGGATGCAGTATCGGAAGAAGGCAAGCCAGCGGAGGCAGTGTGATGCTTTGGGCAATGTTCTGCTGGGAAACCTTGAGTCCTGCCATAACACATTTATATCGATGTTACTTAGACACATACCACTTAACTAAATATTGTTGCTGGCCATGTACACCCCTTCAAGGAAATGGCATTCCCTGTTGGCAGTGGCCTTTTTCAGCAGGATAATGCGCTCTGCCAAACTTGCAAAATGGTTCACAAAAATGTGTTTGAGGAAGACAAGTTCGAGGTATTGACTTGCCCACCAAATTCACCAGATGTCAATCCATGGAGCATCTGTGAGATGTGCTGAAAAAAACAAGTCTTATACATGGAGGCCCCACCTCACAACCTACAGGACTTTATGGATCTGTTATTGGTGGCTTAGTGCCCAATATCACAGCATTCCTTCAGAGGTCTATTGGTGCCTGTGCCTCGATGGGTCAGGGCCAATAGGGGACCTACTCAATATTAGGTGGGTGTGCAAAACGTTATGGCTGATCAATGTATATTACAAATGTTAGTAGAAAAACGTAAACTGTTTTCAAACCACCGCCAGAAAAAAAAAAAATGCACAGCAGTCAAATAGTGTATAACAAGGCCATGTATAAAGACAACAGGAATGCTAAACAAGATGGAATTTATGTTTTATTACATATATACAGTTGTGGCCAAAATTATTCAACCCCCAATGCTGTAAAGGGGTTTAGGGACTATAGTGTACATTTGGAATTGTATTCAGAATCAAATCCTACAAGGACGTTGTAACTACCCAAATGCAACTAAAATGACATCAATTGTTGATCATGTAATACAGTAGTAAATGGTTCTTATGTGGTTTCTTCATTGCCACAATTATTCAACCCCTTAAAGACTACCACTCTGAAGAACAGAGGTTCATACAGGTGCTTTCCATCAGGTATTGAAAACACCTGTGGATGTCACCGAGCAGCAATCAAGCATAATAAGCACCAATTAGGCAGCTTTAAAATGACTGTGATACTCAGCTCCTTCTAGACATTTACTGGTGTGGTTACAAACATGGTGAAGGCAAAGAATGGTCCAGGAAGACAAGAGAAGAGGTGATTTCTCTTCACAGGAAGGGCAATGGCTATAAGAAGATTGCAAAGATGTTAAACATACCAAGAGACACCTTAGGAAGCATCATTCGCAACAAAAGGGCACTGTTGAAACGCTACCTGGTCGTGGCAGAAAGAAGATGCTGACTTCGACTGCTGTGCGCTACCTGAAGCGTAGAGTGGAGAGAAGTCCCCGTGTGACTGCTGAGGAACTGAGAAAAGATTTGTCAGATGTGGGTACAGAAGTTTCAGCCCAGACAATAAGACGCACACTGCGTAATGAAGGCCTCCGTGCCAGAACTCCCAGGCGTACCCCCTTGCTGTCTCCAAAGAATAAGAAGAGTCGACTGCAGTATGCCAAAAGCCATGTGGACAAACCACAAAAGTTGTGGGATAGTGTTCTGTGGACTGATGAAACAAAATTAGAAACTGTTTGGGCCCATGGATCAACGCTATGTTTGGAGGAGGAAGAACAAGGCCTATGATGAAAAGAACACCTTGCCTACTGTGAAGCATGGTGGAGGGTCAATCATGCTTTGGGGCTGTTTTGCTTCTGCAGGTACAGGGAAGCTTCAGCGTGTGCAAGGTACCATGAATTCTCTTCAGTACCAGGAGATATTGGATGGAAACGTGATGCAGTCCGTCACACACCTGAGGCTTGGGAGACGTTGGACCTTTCACAGGACAATGATCCCAAGCATACCTCCAAGTCCACTAGAGCATGGTTGCAGAGGAAAGGCTGGAACATTTTGGAGTGGCCATCGCAGTCACCAGACTTAAATCCGATTGAGAACCTCTGGTGGGACTTAAAGAAAGCAGTTGCAGTGCAAGCCTAAGAATGTGACTGAACTGGAGGCCTTTGCCCATGAAGAATGGGCGAAGATACCCGTTTAATCGCTGCAAGACACTTGTGTCAAGCTATGCTTCACGTTTAAAAGCTGTTATAACTGTAAAAGGATGCTGTACTAAGTACTAAGATTTGAATGTCACTTGGGGGTTGAATAAAACTGATAATGCTGTGAGCACAGAAAAGACATTTGTGGTTATTTCATTATAATGTTATGTTAATTTGTCTGACCTACAAGTGCCTCTTTAATGTAAATGTAAGCAAGATGACTGAATGATCAAAAGCAATGTCAAACTAAAAACACTCAATTTCAGTGGGGGTTGAATAATTTTGGCCACAACTGTATATATATATATATTTATATATATTTACATTTATTAAACAACAATACTAAAAAATATTCCAATAAACATTAATTACCACATTCTGATGCCACCTAAACACCAAAAGGTTTTTGCTTGTTATTAAAAGATTAATAATAATCAAAAAAATAACTTCAGAGATTAAAGTGCATTCACATATTACCTTTATTAATAAAAAAAACAAAAACAAAAAAAAAACAGTTCACCTTGCCCTACTCGCTCCTCTCTATTTAAAACAGACAGTTGGCATAAATAAATAATGATTTATGATTCAATTTAAATGCATATGGACATGCATTAGAATTCCTTGTCTGTTGTTCTGACTTCCATAGCATAAAAGGATTTTACAGTTTTTTTAAAATAAGTATATATATATATATATATATATATATATATATATACAATAACCTATGCTACACTAAAGTGTTTTATGTTACAGGCTTTTTAAAGTCGTAAAATGCTTCATCTATACTTTATTGGCCACATAAATCCTACTGTTTTGTTTCTCTTCATGTGCTGTCCAATGGAGATCTGATTTGCAACCAAATTGTGGTGTCCCCCACTGTCCCCATCTCATAATTTTGAACGTGAAGCTGGTTCTTAGGGTAGTGCTATTAGTGAATCAAAAATCATAATGAAAGCAACATTACCCAATACAATATCTAACGTCTTCCTAGGTAAATACTCAAGGACAGTCTGACACCTTTATAACCGCTAACCACAAAAATATGAAGAATCGGCATATGAGTTTGAGGAGCAGGAGAGAAGCAATGGCAAATACAGCCAGTGTATAGGGAAATTACAGATGATCCTTGCTGAATCACTCATCCCCCACTATTTTTTTAACAGTGCCAGCCATCTTAGGGATGCCTCAATTGTAAGGCAAAGCCATATGTTAAAACTTAAATAGAAACCAAGTCAGGACAGGTATTAAACCTAGTAAATTTGTTTATGAGGGGAATTTTGTAAAGTCATTTTCTCATGACCCAAGGCATGATTTAAAGGACATTACCAGATGTCAGAAGCCACCAGATCTGTCAACACCCTGCCAGCCTTCTTAAAGGACACATCTGACGGACATGGACATTAAAGTTATTCTGTTTTATGATTGGATAAATAATAATAACAAATCATGTTAGAAGGTGATCATAATCTTGACATGCAGAGTGTAAATAAATCTATACAATCGTAGCTGCTTTCATCCCTATGTTGGCTTGTAACCCCACACATGTGTACAGTGTATGTCAATAAAGCTTATCTAATTTAAACCTACTTACAGGCGTTGGTTTTTGGGGTCGATCTTTTTGCTTTTTCATGACAAACTGTTCCAAACTGTCCTACCCTTTATAGAAATACAGACAACTGTGCAGACAGCCCTCTCACTACATAGTCACTTCATAGTCCATATAACAGGGTTGGGTGACTACATCATGCAGCTGTCAGTTCATGGTTTTAGGGAGCTTTACTGTACAATTCAAGTTCAAGTATCCGCACCCATACTGCAGAATAAAACTGATGTTCCTAACCCCAGAAACCATTAAACAGCTCATCCACTCCCTCATCATATCACGACTCGACTACTGCAACTCCCTGCTCACTGACCTGCCTCGCCGCTGGCTATCCCCGCTTCAGTCGATCCTCAATACGGCTGCCAGACTCGTTCACCTTTCCAACCGCTCCATCTCCGCCACCCCCCTCTGCCAATCCCTCCACTGGCTTCCGATTGCGCAAAGGATCAAATTCAAAATCCTAACACTGACGTACAAAGCTGTCCACCATACTGCCCCGAACTACATCACTGACCTAATATCCAAGTACCGCCCAGCACGCACACTCCGCTCCTCACAAGACCTCCTTCTCTCTAGTTCCCTGGTCTCCTCCTCCCATGCCCACCTCCAGGACTTCTCCAGGGTGTCACCCATCCTCTGGAACTCCCTACCCCAACCCATCAGATTATCACCTACTCTCCTCTCCTTTAGGCGCACCCTGAAAACCCATCTCTTCAGGGAAGCCTACCCCACCCCCTGCTAACTTGACCAACCTCCTCCACTCTTCCTACCACTCCATCCCCCACAGCTATCTCCTCCTGTACCACTATCCCCTCCCTCCTAGATTGTAAGCTCGAAAGAGCAGGGCCCTCGATCCCCTCATGTTTTGCATTGTATTGGTATTGTTCTGTCACATGTTCTGTCCCCCTTTGTAATGCACAGCGCTGAGCGAACCATTGGCGCTTTATAAATACTGTATAATAATAATAATGTGGCCAGGAAGGGCATTTGAGTAAATAATACAGCTGCTTGATTTTATTTGTTGTTGCTAGAAATAACAGATAGTGAACAACTTTAGTTGTGTCCTACACAGCAGCCTCTGTGTTTTTGGTTTCACTAGCTAACTTTGACCTCTTAGAGTCAAGTGAACTCACATCTTCTGCGAGGGCATTCTTAAGAATAAACTTAATGGATCTTTTGAATTTGCTTTTGAACTCCCGACCTGCTAGCACATAAATAATTGGGTTAATGCAGCTATTGACAAAGGCCAGTGCAATGAAAAGTGTGTCCACATTTTGAAATGTTGTGTATAAGTTTGAGTTGATATTATGCACAGTTAGGATGAGTCCAGCGACATGGTATGGAAGCCAGCAAAAAAAAAACCCAATGATCACAATGAGGATGATCTTCACAGTCTTAGTAGATTGGGTGTATCGTCCACTCACTCTCCTCAAAAGCACACTGTAGCAAGCAGTAATGACCACAAATGGGATGACAAAACCCATCAGTAATCGGAAAATAGCAATTAAATTCTCCACCTTCTGTTTCTGATCTTTAAGGAAAGAATAATCATAGACACAACCCTCTTTATTGTAATTCTTCTCAGTTGTATTTCGAAACACAAAGGAAGGAGTGCTCAGAGTAATGGCCAGGATCCATATTACCAAACATGCCACATACGCTTTATTCACAGTCCTCTTGTTTTGGCACCACACAGGTTTGAGGACCAAGGCACAACGGTCAATACTGATCATAGTGAGGAGGAGGACACTAGCATACATGTTGACCAATAATATAGAAGGGATAGTCTTGCAGGCAAAAAGACCCAGTGGCCAGTGTCCAAGGGCTATCCACATGATTGAAAATGGCACAGCAAAACAACACAGAAGGTCTGCCACTGCCAGGTTTAGGAACCAAACTGAATTTACGGTCCTTTTCATTTCAAAGGTGGTTACCCACACCACCAGACCATTGCCAGGAACACCGAGGACAAACACCATACAGTACATGATCATTGCAAACCAATCAACTGTGGAAACTGTGTAAAGTTCTGGATAGTTGGGAGGAGATTCAGTTTCATTAAGGACGTTAAAAAAGAAATCATCAATGTCATCGTAGATGTCGTTGTTATAGTTGATGTCATGCGTATTATTCATGATGAATTACCCAAAAAGGTCTAGTTTCTTTGATGACCTATAAAACAAATTAGCAAGTGTATGGGGTTAATCACTGGACATAGTACAGTCAGTGCAGTGCTTTGTGAAATAAACAAAATAATATTAATAGTATTATTTCTATTGAGTCTAACCATGTTGTTTCTCATTATCTGTATATCTATCTATATATATTTTTTTAATCTAACATATCTAAGCTTATATTATAGTTATACAAGAATCTAATGCCAGATTGGCGTAGTTACTGTATTTTCCGGCGTATAAGATGACTGGGCGTATAAGACAACCCCCTACTTTTCCTGTTAAAATATAGGGCTTGGGCTATACTCACCGTATAAGACTACCCCTCTTCCAATGCACACCAAATAAAAATTAAAAAACATCAGATTTGATTTCAATATGGTATGGTATTCCAATGATGGGGCGCTATTCCTCGCTCTGACACAAATGATGGGGCACTATTCCTCCCACTGACACCAATGATGGGACACTATTCCTCCCACTGACACCAATGATAGTGCCCCATCATTAGTGTCAGTGTGTGAGGAATAGTGTCCCATCATTCGTGTCAGTGTGGGAGGAATAGTACTCCATCAGTGTCAGTGGGAGAAATAGTGCCCCATCATTGGTGTCAGTGGGAATAGCACCCCATCATTGGTGTCAGTGGGAGGAATAGCGCCCCATCATTGGTGTCAGTGGGAGGAATCATGCCCCATCATTGGTGTCAGTGGGAGGAATAGTGCCCCATCATTGGTGTCAGTGGGAGGAATCATGCCCCATCATTGGTATCAGTGGCAGGAATAGTGCCCCATCATTGGTGTCAGTGGGAGGAATAGTGCCCTATCATTGGTAACTGTGGGAGGAATAGTGGCCCATCATTGGTATCAGTGGGAGGAATAGTGCCCCATCATTGGTATCAGTGGGGGGAATAGTGCCCCATCTTTGGTGTCAGTGGGAGGAATAGTACCCCATCATTGGTGTCAGTGGGAGGAATAGTGGCCCATCATTGGTATCAGTGGGAGGAATAGTGCCCCATCATTGGTATCAGTGGGGGGAATAGTGCCCCATCTTTGGTGTCAGTGGGAGGAATAGTGTCCCAACATTGGTGTCAGTGGGAGGAATAGTACCCCATCATTGGTGTCAGTGGGAATAGCACCCCATCATTGGTGTCAGTGGGAGGAATAGTGCCCCATCATTGGTGTCAGTGGGAGGAATCATGCCCCATCATTGGTGTCAGTGGGAGGAATCATGCCCCATCATTGGTGTCAGTGGGAGGAATTATGCCCCATCATTGGTGTCAGTGTGAGGAATAGTGCCCTATCATTGGTATCTGTGGGAGGAATAATGGCCCATCATTGGTATCAGTGGGAGGAATAGTGCCCCATCATTGGTATCAGTGGAGGGAATAGTGCCCCATCTTTGGTGTCAGTGGGAGGAATAGTGTCCCAACATTGGTGTCAGTGGGAATAGTACCCCAATGTTGGCCCACCAATGTGCCCCACCAATGTTGGTGTCAGTGGGGGGTGGAATAGTGCCCCATCGTTGGTGTCAGTGGGGGGGAGGAATAGTGCCCCATTGTTGGTGTCAGTGGGAAGGAGGAATAGTGCACCATTGTTGGTGTCAGTGGGTGGAGGAATAGTGCCCCATCGTTGGTGTCAGTGGGAGGAATAATGCCCCATCATTAGCATCAGTGACACCAATGATGGGGCACTATTCCTCCCACTGACACCAATGACACTTGCTGACCCCTGTTCCAGCATGTGTCATTTGTGTCGTATGTTGGCTGCACCTCTGCACGGCACACTTACCGCCCATTCCCTCACTCGATTTTCGTGGGGTACCGCTCCTTGTCGGTGATTGGCTGCCTGTGTGCCTTTCCTGAGCTACAGTTCTGGCGCCCAATCACCGGTGAGGAGGCGGAGCCGAGCGGCCACGCGAACATCGAGCGGCCAAACTGAATGAAGGAGCAGCCGCGCTTCCTGGACTGGACCGTCGTGGGACTGGGACTGGAGTCAGGTAAGAAACAGCAGCCCGCCCCTGTACTTAGTGTCCCTTCCGTTGGAAGGGGGGGGTGGCACGGCTCCGCGCCGCCCCCCTAAAAATGCCGCCCTGACACAAAGTGTCAGCATGCCGTATACCTGCGTATAAGACGACCCCCGACTTTTGATGATACGATTTTCATGGGTTAAAAAGTCATCTTATATGCCGGAAAATACGGTAAGTCACCAAAGCACACTGCTAATGTTAATTAACCTTTAAATGACACACATACTCAAATATTGAGATTAAGCTATTTTATTATCCATGCTGGAATTGATTAATTTAGAATAATAGGAGGGATAACATTCTTTAAAAGAGATCATTTGATAAAAAGTTCAAGGTTAGGAAAGAAACACAGCAGAGAATTGGCAGCAGAGGGTAGGTATATTGGATGGGGTATTCAGCACCACGGGACTTCATCTGGTGTATTTAATGTGAATCCATAGTCTGTATAATGTGTTAGAGCACAACCTTTTTCTTAAAGTATAGTTAAAGCCATTTTTTAGATTTGGGAACATTGATGAGGTTATGACCTCTGTCAGGTTTTTATTGGTCTTTGTGCAACCTGGGTGTTTTACTCTTTCTGTCCTTTTCACCAAAGGCACAAGGAATGAAAGTGATGGTAAATCCACAATTTTTTAGATGCCACCAGAACAGAGAAGGAATCTTTCAGTATTTACTGTGACAGCCATTAAAGGGGGGTTTCCCTTACTTTGGAGAGAGATCATCTCACTTCCTTTAGAGTCTATAGGACAGGAAGTCAAGGGAAATCTCCCTCATGAGACACAGCTGGATTTAAATATACTTTAAATTACTACTACGACTACCATTAACCACTTTAACTCCACCCTATAGCAGGATTACTGCTACAGTGCAGAGTCCCTGCACAAAATCACGTATATACATGTGATCCATGCTCCAGCCGTGATCGCGGGTCGGGAGCGTGCGCCTGCCAGCCCGGCAGTACCGTGATTCAGTGCTGCACCAATCTATCAGCAGATTCAGGTCAGTTATGTTCGGCCTGGATCTGCTGATTGATCACTACCCTATCAAAGATCTTCCTGTACCTGTGTTTACAGGAAATGATGCAATCTTCTCTCCCTAGGACACATTCCATTCCAGAGAGAAGGAAGCAGATCTATGTGAGTAAAAGCAGCACACTTTTACAGTAAAAGCACAGCTAGGTCATATTTAACCCCTTGGTCATCCCTCAGTTAACCCCTTCACTTCCCTGTCACCAGTGTCATTATTACAGTGTACAGATTTTTTTTACTGATCACTGTATTAGTGCCACAGGTGACTTCAGCTAGCATTAGAGTCCCTCCCAGATAGTGTATTTGATTGCAAGGAACACGCTCACATACACAATAAACCTCTATTGCTAGTATAGTGTCTGAACCGATCAATATCTTTAATCAGACCAGAACTATACCAGTGTTCATAATAGTATAGTGTCCCCGAAAACACAGCGTTAGCAGGATTAGCCCCGACACCTGCCAGCACCTGCGTCGAGCCCCTACGCTTAACCCCCCCCTTCTCCCCCAGCAAGTGCAGTGTCAGTGGACTTGATACATTGCACACAAACTGCAGGGTTAGCAAGATCAGGCATGATCTCTGCTAGCACTAGTAGGTACATTTTTTGGTAGTGGTTCAAACAGTCCCTGACACTAGGTACCTATACATTTAGTGGCCAAAATGTCCAGTGAAAGGCCTACAGGATTCTGACCATGTCAGGTGAGAGGGGAATCCTCACTGACAGAATCAGGCTCAGAATACTAAGCTGTAGACAGCAGCAGCACCCTGACAGATAGCTCAGACAATGGAGTAGAGGTCTCTGCTAAGGACAGGCATACCCCACTCTGTTCCTAGGTTGCTGAGGTGGTACAATTGCATGATGATTCTCATGTGCAGCAGAGTGCCCGTACTAGTGATATGAGAATATAATGCGATTTACGCATTTCAACGACAATACCCTTTCATCCTCGGGGTAACCCTGAATTTGTCCAGCTGAATAATAATAAAAATGAAAGCACCCTGCGTGTGCGCAATGGCATACGCAAGCGTTGGCCCTGTGTCAGTATCTAAACAGTGGCTGCACTATGCATGTGAGGTATTGCCGCGAACATCAGATAGAGGGCAGTAATTCTAGTACTAAACCTCCTGTGTAAATCTAAAATGGTAGCCTGTAAAGGCTTTTAAAGCGTCACCTATGGATATTAAAAATGTATGCAGTTTGTCGCCATTGCGCGGGGCGTGCGCAGTTTTAAAGCATGTCATGTTTGGTATCTATTTACACGACATACCTTCATATTATATATGTTACCACACAATTGTCCAATATATTGTGTTTTTGTGCATTAAAAATAAAAAAAAATTTTTTTTTCAAAAAATTTGTGTTTGAAAAATCGCTACCTGAGTACAATGTGACATAAAAAATTGCAGCACCCATCATTTTATTCACTAGGGTGTCTACTTTAAAAAAAATATATAACATTTGAAGGTTCAAAGTAATTTCATAGCAAAAAATACAATTTTTTTCATGTGAACAAAAAAAGTGTCAGAAATGGCTTGGTCTTCAGGTGGTCAGAAGAGTGAGTGATGTGTGGCATAAACTTCTACTGCTGGGTAGAAGCTGCCCCCCTTCCCCCCAAAAGACCCCTTTTTGGAAATTAGACACCCCAAACTATTTGCTGAGAGGCACGTTGAGTCAATAGAAGAATTAATTTTTTTACCACAAGTTTTTGGAAAAAATTATTTTTTTTACACAAAATTGTCACTTAAATGATATATTGCTCTCACGTGCCATGGTTATATGTGGAATTACTCCAAAAATACATTCTGCTACTTCTCCTGAGTATGGGGATACCACATGTGAGTGACTTTCTTACAGTCAAGCCACATACACTACCCCAAAATCCAATATGAACCTTCAGGCTTTTAAAGGGCTTTATTTCCTCATTACACTTCCTGACTACCTATCATAGTCTTGTAGACCCTGAAATGCCAGAATAGTACGAACCACCTTCCTGCCCTCAAATTACCCCTTTTTGGAAAGTAGACACCTCTAGAAATTTGATAAGAAGCATGGTGGGTATTTTGCAGATCTCGTTTGTTGCCACAAGTTTTTGGAAAATGAAAGAAAACGAAAACATATTTTTTAAAAAATGTTTTGGTCTTTTCTTGTTTACAGTGCAAAAAATAAAAAATCAGGAAGTGATCAAATACCACCAAAAGAAAACTCTCTATTTGTGTGAAAAAAGAACATACATTTCGTATGGGTATAGCATTGCATGACCACACAATTACCAGATGAAATAGCGCAGCGCTGAATAGCAAAAAATGGAAGGGGAGTAAATCCTCTGGAGGGTAAGTGGTTAAGCTAACCCACACACCTCTGCTTGATTAGATACATCTTGAATGAATAGTTAGGTAGGTCCTCAGTTTTGGTAAATATACAGTAGATTGTACAAAGGATGCACAGTAAGACATGTAAGGTAAGCTTTAAAAATATTTCCCCGTACTTATTATTACAGTTGTAAGTTTCACCAGAAGTGGGGAAAATATTTTTGGGAAAATAGGGGAAGACTAGAGCTCCTGTCAGCTTTTTATTGCCTGTGTCCATGTTGCAGATTCCCCCATTTCTGGTGAAATTGTTGTCATTGTGATATTAAGGGCTCATTTACACTTGTGGTTGAGGCTGGTAAAAATAAGCAGTTTAACTGCATTTTTACTGCCTCCCGACTGCCCCCAATAAGCTGCAAAGGTAGATGGCAGACATTATGTACATGCAACAGGTGCAATGTACTCCCTGTCACATCTGGTGGGCAGTACCACTACCGAACATGACCCATTCATCCAATTTGTGTGGATGAAGGAATCTGTTCATTTTTGTTTCTTTTAATTCAGACCTCCGACTGATTGAAAATAACTGATTGTATACGGCCATTTTAGCCTAAAGTTCAGGATAGCAGAAAACCCAAACAGAGGTTCGTATCCTTCCCCACTCTATTCAAAACTTTAAAAAGTCTTTAGTCTTCTAAAAAAAAATTTCAAAACAACAAATTCACTGTACTAGGGAACATATTTGTAAAAGACTGACCGCACCTTCACTTAGGTGTTACTATCACAAGCAACATTTGCATATTTATCAGATGCCCAATATTAACACCCTGCAAATGTGAAATGCAGGGAATATTTGGTGGACAGGTACAGTATAACTACTGTAGAGTGGAAAAAAAATTTGATTTAGTCTAATTTTTGTTTCACCTTAAAAATAGCATTTTATCTTTTTTCTAAGGATCTTTGTTCTATTCTCATCTTTTTTTTAATGCATTACCAATTGTTACAAAATATAGATAATATAATGACCTAATTTTTATTAATCTTGTTTAAAACTTTGAAGGGATTTGCTCTAAAAAAGCTAAATCAATACTACACTTTCAGGGGATTAACACTATTTTATTTAGAAACAATTTTATCTTTTTATTACATCAATAATAATACCATCAATATTAATAATATACTAGAAAATTTTTATATTTTGCGTAATGCACGCATTTTGAATTTCAGCATAATAATTATAGCTAAACAAGTGGTTTCCTAAAGCTTTCTTATATTGTCTGCTGTTCTGCATTTTAAAATATAAGGGTAATA